GGCCAAAATTTAAATGCCTAGTTATGCATGGTACTCTTCTTAGTAGAAATTCACAGATTGAAGTCTTTAATGGTTATTGCTGACATGAGAATTACTTCTTTTGGAGGGGAAGGCACAAATAGATACAGGTTAATCTCTAAGCAGAAAGGCCTGTTGGAACTGGCCTTCTTTCCAACCTTTTCAAGTAGTGCTAACTGGCCAACAATTAATGTAATACAATGTGTATTCCACAAGTTGTGTTTGGTTCTGGTAGGAGAGATTGGATACCATGTGGCTAAGTCTAATGCAACCCTTTTCTGTCCCATGTTGGTGACAATGATGTGGTTCTGCTGGGAGTTGAAAGTTACTGCTCCTAGTTTTTTGGATCGGGTAACCTTCTGTAATGCATTTAACACAGGTGTAGGCTTTGCTTTGCACTGTGAGTACAAGTATGTATACACCTGTATTTTAATTCAGAGGCCAATTATTATTGACAAAAATAAGACATGTTAGTTTTAGGCCATAGACCAGTGCAGTTCATGTAACTTAACGAAAAGCTGATTTCTCACTGACTGGAGACTTGAATTAAAACACTTCTATTATTTCTGGTCAAACTGCAATGAGAACTGTTCTGTTCATTAGTCAGGGGGCATGAAAAGCACATCCCGAGCCCTTTGGGGTGAAAATGTATTTATGTTCTTTCACAACATGTTTTTTGGGAGATGAAGGAAGAAGTGCGGAGACAGTGTTTAATGCAAGTAATTGGGATTTGTGCTCATTGGTGTGCAAGACTGCTTTCTGAACTGGGCTGCTTGTGGAAAAGCTTGTGGTAAGTCCTGAATGAATGTTGTACTGAGCAGGGAAGAATTGGGGAATTCATGTGCCACAGGAGTGTCTCCATCTTGCTTTGTAATACACTGAGGTATCAGTCTGCTGCTGGTATTTCTCACCCTGCAGTCTGTGAAATTTGTCATCTATCTTGTAACGTAGTCCTTGGGTTTCAGAGAACATCACATGTGGATATTGGGTATCACATAGCCAAAATTGACTGTATATGTTCAAACAATAGCAACTGCTGGTTGCTAGTGTATGATTTAAAGGGACAGATCTGTAGGGGACTAAAGTAAGAATGGCTAGCCAATACATGCTCCTTGCGTGTATCCACAAGTTGTCATATGTCAAAATGTAATAGGCATCATTCTAACTTAACATGCAAAGACCAAAGGATGGTTGAAGTCCTAGTGCAACGAAGTGTTCCAGTTCCAAAGATAACACAGCTGTTCTTGCAGAAAATGGTTGGAATGCAAAAGTAAATGCAGATAAATATATTGGTTCATTTAAACTGTCAAAATTGCTCCAGAACTTTCACAGAAAGAAACGCACAAGTTTTGGAATTTGAAAATCAGAGTTTTGAGCTAGCAAGGGTTGTTCTGTTGTAGGTGTGGCAGGGTTCTCATGCAGAAACTGCCACTTTCAGCTGTGCACTTGAAAGGAAAATAAGTTAAATGTGCTGTTGAACTGTAGGAAAAGGGGAGTTTGGGAAGGTATGGTTTGATTTTTTTTCTAAGTCTGTAAGTGTAGTAATCTCCCTACTTGACCTGATAGAGCTTCTGTAGCCAGATATTGTGCATCTGAGTGACTTTGTTAGTCTTCTGAATGAGTTGTATTTCCGGTATTTAAAAGTAACTGGTTTTAACTAATTGTTTTCTTGCAGCGTATTCAGTGCTGTCTCCTGCTCTGTATTCATCTACCAGGGATGACACTTTGCTGTCCATGAAGCACATGAGAAAGCTATTATGGAAAGGACTGCCAAAGAATCTGGGCTGGCATTAGTTCATGTTGTTCATTCAGGGAAGGGATTTTCAGTTTTTCAGAGGATTTTTCTTCTTTGCTTAACTCGTAAGTCCTCTTCTGAAGACACTGGAAAACCCAGAATGTTAGGAGAAAGGCATATTGTTGATCAACCTGAGGCATTGACAACCATATACTGCTCCAATTAATCTGTTAGATCATAAACTACAGGAGTAGTCGTTAAATAAGGATCTAGCAACACACAGGCTGTCATGGAAGCAGTCAAATCATGCTGTTGTGATTTGTACAGAAATAGTGCTTGATCATGGTTGGTATTTTTCACTTTGTGGGTCAGGTGTTTGAGCTGTCTCTCTTATTACATAGCTGCTTTTTTTTTTTCCTAAGAGTGTCAGACAGGTGGCCAGCATCCTCTCTCCAAAATAAAAATGCATTGAGAATGTTGGAGTTCAAATAAGTGTTGCTTACTAATCAGTGAAGTACTTGGAATTAAAGGGATAGTCCCCATGCTTATGTACCCTGTCCTAAGTGGAAGGATTCTCATGGCGCAGCCTGAGACAATTATTTTCAGTTTTGTGTGTGTGAAAAGAGTGGGAAAGGATCCTGTCTTCAAGTGACTTCCACTAGTGTTCAGTGAGGCTGAGGGTGAAGAAATTGTACTGGCATGACCATGGCAACAAAAAGCAGATTGGTGAAAGGGCCAGTTTTTCCTTGCCAAAGAAGGTGATTACCAAATGCTACTATTGCCCAGAGCAAAGTAGTATGAGTCTCTTGTTGATTATTTAGATAACATCTGTGGGGATTTTGAGGCTTTGCAATGTCCACTGTGCAGTTTATTGCTAAAGAAAGCATGCAAAAGTGCAAATTTAAACACTTATTTTCATTTCTTTCTGCAATTAAATGACAATCTTGCATAGCTGATAAGATTCCACAGATCATGCCTATTAATACATGGAGCAAAACTTCTTTATGATAGCCTCCAAAGGGCTACTAATCCCTTCCTTTAAAGTTGCACATGCTTGCTCTTAGTTAAAATTTAGGAGTGATATTGTGGACTTTTGATTTCCAGATGCCATGGGAAGGAGATAAATGTTAATTTTCTGTGTTAACAGGTAGCCAGTAATATATTACGTACAAGCAGCTGCTGAATGTGCGGTGACATGATAGAAATCATGGCAACAGGTGGCTGAAGTGTTCAGGTTCAGGTTTCTTCATATTGCAGAGGAGGAAGAAAAGATATCTGCCTGCGAGAGGCAGAGAGGATGCACAGCTACTCATGCAAATTTTCAAATATGGAATACTGGATTTCTGTTTAATTTGTAGGTTTTTTCTTGTACTTGAAAATGTTTTGTTTTACTTTTTTTTAAGTGGGTGTTCGTAGAAGGCATTCTGATTGTGTGCATGCATCTGATGCACAGATACCAAGGTGACAGGAGCTCCAGAAATTTATTTCAAGAGTTGCTCAAGCTATTAATTTACAGGATGTGCACAGCAAAAAGAAGGGTACAACAAAGTAGAATACAGCAATTGAGGACTTAAAAAAATAAAAATTGAAGTGTTTCCTTCCCCGTTGTTCCTGCTGTTAGAAATCTTCCTTTTCTGATGTGTTTATTTATGCCCTAGATGGCAGGTTTTGATGTTCAAAGTTCTTGTGAAGTTTATATGCAAACAAAACTGAGGCAGTTCATGTAAGAAAAAGTATTTTGACTAAGGTCGATAAATATTTTCTAACCTCAAACTAGTTTTTCTGTAGGTTAGGGCTGTTGAACAATGAAAAGTAAAGCTGTGTCAGATTGATTTAGAGATTTTGGTGTTTAGGTTTTTTTTTTCCTGACAGCACACTTGAAATTCACACAGCTGAATTCTAATCACTCCCTTAAAATCTTTAAGTTCTATGTCGCTTTTCCGCCTGAAAATACAGCTTCATTCAGGAGCATTCAGTGAAATTCAGGGGATCTCCATGCAGAATCTGTCACATTATTTTTCCCCGATTTGGCTTCATTACTAGAATTTTGCAAGGCTTGTTCTGAGGCTTTCATTCTTCCTAGTGCTTGACCCTTGGTAGAGCTTTCTTAGTGTGTTAAATGCTTGGGAATTTTCAATGCAGTATGTGTCTTTCCTGGTCTAAAATCTGTTCTGCATGTCTCATTGTCTTTATGTGGTGTCTTTAATTGGTTCCTGGACCTGAGACCATCCATCATCCACTGTCATTTTGGAAGCAGCGTTCCCCTCCAAGAACTTTTATCAGCTTTCACTCATGTGAAATTGAACTAAAACCAGCCAGCCTCCCAGTTCTGGTTCCCCCTGCTGCTACTACTGCCTTTTTAGCTATTTGTTAATCCCTCTCCTTCTTTGCCTTCTCTGTGAGGAGTCAATAAGGACATAAAAAACGCCCAAACTACTTGTGAAAGAAGGCTGAAAGTCCAAGTTTGCTTGCTCCCTCCCTCCATGGGGTGGGCTTTCTGAGCAGGAAGGTGGGACAAGGGGAAAGCAAGTCCAATTGGCTTCTACAAAAGGCTGTTACTCCTTACCCTTTTTCATTCGGCTGATTTGTAGCAGCAGCATATTAAGTAATATAAACCCTGTCTCTTGGGGATTAAGAGTGCAGTTACACTTGCAACAGCTGCCTGTGTATGTCTTACTGACTACAGAAAAAGAATGTGCTGCTCCTCCTATTCTTTCTCCTGATTTTTATCTAGTATTGTTGCTTCCCTCCCTTTCTTTGTTTCTCTTTCTGACCTTCTCACAGCTCCAACACCGTTCCACTCCATACTTGCTTCAAGAAGACTGCAGCTGAGTTTCCTAGCACAGCCCCAGAAGCCAACAGAAGGCAAAGGCAGCGGGGGGAGCGGGAGGGAGTGTGCCGAAAGTGAGCCAAGCCGTTGCTGGCAACCCTTGTCTCAGTGCAAAACCTACTGCTTTGAGAGAGACCAGGCAGGGGGAGGAGCTTAGTTTTGTAGAGAAGAGAAGGAGAAAAGAAACTTGAAACTGGCTTCCCTTGTGGCATGTCTGTGTCCTGAACATCCCCTCCCCACCCTGCTGTTTGTTAAATGAAAACCACGTGAAGAACATGAGGTTTCTTGCTTGACAGGGAGGGCAGTACTGGACTTGGTGAGGGAGGAGGAAGGCAAGCTGTGGTTTTGTGGTGTGGTTTACACCGAGATCAGAGCTAGTGTGCCTGGGGGTGGGAGCAGAAAAAGAAAGGGCATCTGATGCCAGCTGCCAATATGACAGAAACCCTGCAGCTCCCAGCACTGCAAGTCCCAGAGCAGCAGGTGGTGGAGGGTGGCCGTGCCTGGTCCAGTTCATCCACCCCAACCCTGCGCAGGAAGCGCTTCAAGATGAGGCGGATGAAGAATGTGCAGGAGCAGAGCCTGGAGGTCAGCAGGTATCAAGATTCTCCTTCCTCCAGAAAGGAATACCTGCAGCTCCCATCCATTGAAATCACCCCCTCCAGTGATGAGGACACTCCCTGGTCCAACTGCTCTACACCCAGTGCTTCCCCGCGGCGCAAGCGCTTCCTCCTTCGGAAGTGGCTGCGTGTGAGAGAGAAGAAGGAATACAGTGAGAGCAGGTATGTTTTTGGCCACTCTCCCTTCCCTTCTTCCAAGAAGAGCTTGTCCACAATAGCCAGATAGGGTCTGTTGTCCCCCTGGGAATCTTGGTGTACTTCTCCCTGGGACTTTGTCCTTACCGGTTGCCTGGAATGGGTAATGTAGTTGGTTGGACTTGCTGATGCCAGACCAAATGCCCTTATCCTTACATGCAAAGAATAAGCATGTTGGAGACAGCAGTGCCAGGATCTGTCCTTGTTCATGGTCCTCTGAATACCTTCAACAGGCAATACAGAACCAGTGGAAAAAATTGTTGCTTCTGAGTGAGGGAGACTGTCCTGAAAGAATGGGTGATAAGGCTTAACTTGATTAAGGTGTTCTGAAGAGATCCTTGAGAGAGGAGGAGACCTCTCTGCTGGGATCACCAGGACAGGGAGTGATGATGCCAAACCTTTGTCAGCATTTTTTGGGTGATGTTCATTCCTACTGCTGGGACCTTCTATGAAATCCTTTGTTTGGTAGCTGATGTTGGGAGAATGTGAGGATAAGAGAAACAAAGGAGCCTTGTGGCTAGCAGGTGGGTCTGCATGTCCAGATGTCTGGGTTCTGTTCTAGGTGGGTTTCCAGACTTGAAAGTCAGTGACTTCATTGGCTCACAAGGGGACAATAATTTATGAAGACCTTTAAGAGCTTGTCAACCCAGGAAAAGTAATGCCCAGGGGAGTTATTGTGTGGCTATACAAAGAAAACTATACCTTATGTAACCGTCTGCAGGTGCAATCAGAATCTACGACTTTCAATGTAGTTTACTCTGCCTTTAATGGGAGAGTGGAACAATTGACCTTTACTGAAGGCCCAGAGTACACAAGACACTTTAAAGGTTTCTCCAGGAAGTTAGTGCATTATAAATCCTTATTGTAGCTTAATGTGGGCAAATCTCTTTTGTTGCTTTGCAACTCCCATGCAGCCTACGTGTGGGTTTATGCCTTAAAGTATGTACTGTACCTCCATAAAAAAGAAACTTGTTTCTTACTGTTTCTGCACCCACCATACTAGATTGACTCACTGACTGCTGTGTTGCTTGAGTGTTTATAAGACACAGCTTTTTCTTCTACTAATATCCACTCTGATTATATGGTAACTCCTCTGGCGCGAGGTCCCTTTAGCAAGGTCAGTCTGTCATGTTACTAAATTTTGGGAAAGTTTCATAAAAAAAAAGCATGCCACCAAGGGTTTGATAATACCTCTTTTAAGTTAACATTGAAAAACATGTCTTGGTTGAGAAAATACTACTGATTTTCACTTAGCTGTGGTGATAAGAGATAGTGATTCAGTTATAGCATAGAAAACAGCAGAAGGATAACGCATAGGGCATATGCTAAAGTGTTAGAATCACAAAGTTCAGCTCTGAAGTTCAACAGAGGATGGCTTTTCAGCTGAAGGGCTTAATTTGGACTTGTCGATGGTGAATGTGTTTGAGACATTGGCCAAGACATTTCTCTGTTTGAATTGGCTTAATTCATTCACGTACATGGATAGTTCCATGGCTATGCTGACTGCTTTCTGCTTATTCATCAGGACATTTCTGCCTTAACCCTGGTTGTGCTTTTGAAGCAGTGACTTCAAAAAAGTTGAATTGGTTGATGGATTAGGTGGTATTAGCATACCAATGCCAGCATGGCACCTCCTTTCTTCATGTGTAGCAGGCTGCATAGAATCATAGAATGGTTTAGATTGGAAAGGACCTTGAAGATCAGAGTTCCAACCCCCTTGCTATGGGCAGGGACACCTCCCATTAGATCAGGTTGCCCAAGGCCATGTCTAGCCTGGCCTTGAACACCTCCAGGGATGAGGCCTCAACAACCTCTCTGGGTAGCCTGTTCCAGTGCCTTACCACCCTTAACATTAGGAAGAAGTTTTTCACTTTTAATCTAAACCTGCCCTCTTTCAGTTTATAGCCGTTCCCCCTTGTCCTATCACTACATGCCCTAGTAAAAAGTCCTTCCCCAGCTCTCCTGTAGGCCCCCTTTAGGTACTGTAAGGCCACCATAAAATCTCCCTGTAGCCTTCTCTTCTCCAGGCTTAACAGCCCCAACTCTTTCAGCCTTTCCTCATAGGAGAGGTGCCTCAGCCCTTGGATAATCCTTGTGGCTCTCCTCTGGACATACTCCAGCAGGTCCATGCCCCTATGTTGGAGACTCCAGAGCTGGATGCAGTACTCCAGGTGGGGTCTCACGAGAGTGAAGTAGAGGGGCAGAATCACCTCACTTGACCTGTTGACCACACTTCTTTTGATGCAGCCCCGGATATGGTTGGCCTTCTGGGCCAGATCTATCCGTTTTGCAATGGGAAACATGATGTTTTCAAATGGAGTTTTTCCCTTTCTAGTTCAGAGGCAAAAACCACCAGTTTTCCAGCCTTTGTGTTGAGCCTCTGGGCTTGCAGAATGCAAACATAACTGGGCTTTAAAAACTCAGCGGGCATGGAAACAACACAGAGAAAGCAGAATCTGTGGGGAGTTAGTCACAGAAAGAGTGATGAACCCTAAAGGATTTTGTGGCATTAATTTGAGAGAGGCTAGCAGCTATCACTGGGATAAACCTTACTGTGCCCTGAGGCTGTAGCATGTGAAACCCTGTTCTAAAATAGCAGGGCAGGAAGCTGGCTCTCTGTAAAGCAAATAAATACTGCCTGTCTACCTTCCCCCTATTTTAGACTTGGTCATCTGAAGCCCTGGCTCTTACTAGCTGCTGTTTTATTATGATGTTGCTGTTTGTAACAATGCTAGTAATGTAATTTACTGTACTATTCATTTGTTTAAGGGCAACAGTGACTACTGTACTAAAGGCTGAAGCATTTTGTCCAGTTGTATTTCCACTAAGACCTGTCTTGGGGTTGAGCAACAGTGATGATGCTTAAACTGTCCAGCTGGTTAATTGTAACACTATTGTGATAGAGATTCCCAAGGTGGTCAGTGTGCCATATGTCTGCTAGGAGCTCAGGTATGCTACTAAGTAAATAGGTTCCCAAAATGCACCTGATCAAAGGAGGCAGCCGTCAGCATGCAGTTCCCACCAGAGAAATGAATGCAGTTTGCTTCCAGTCACTGCCTCTTTCTAGTTAAATTGTTATCAAGCAGTTGAAACTTATTTTTGGAGCCCAGTAACCTTTACCCCCATTATGTGGCCAGATGTCTGCCTGTTTGTATGGTAGGGTTTTCCCAGGAAAGCTGGTAGTTGAGAGCAAACTGTGCACAAACTGACTTACTCCAGTGATGCATGTATTGCTCACATGCCCCTGAGCAAAAGCAATAGCTCTGTGACCATTAGCATACAGTAAGCATCCAAGTGAATAAACAAATACTTTTAGGACTCAAAATGCTGTCTGTAATGCTCTGGGTCTGATGAAGGCTGACTGCTTTTTTTTATCTGGAAACTTTAGCCTACAAAATGTACTGTATCCCTGGTTAGTTTTTAACAGCCTTGATAATTTTAAGGTTTGTTTACCTGCTGGTTCTCTAAAGGCTGTTAGGCAGCTGATAGCGAGAGCAGAAGAGGAGAGTCTGTTAATTTCTTTTCATTAAACAGCGGAGATGACATGTAAGAGCTTTGCTTGCTTATGACACAGTTTTATTTGAGGTGAAAAAGCAGGGAGAAGTGGTTTCTTGGGGGTAAGAGTTTCCCTGTTATTTGTCTTTGTAGAAAAGCATGATGATCCAAACTACAAGTTTGGTGCACAGGGGGCCTATACAGATGATAAATAGGATGCTTTTTTTGTAAGGGATGCAGACGACTTCTTACCTATACTTGTCATCCATCATTTGCTACCCAGGTAATGATAGAAGTTATTTACCTGCATACAGTTTTATACAGTGTGAACCCTGCACACAAGTGCACAGTTTTTATTAAGGTGTGATGGTTGTCTTTCCTCACAGGCTAGTAGATGCAATCTGTTGGCATTTTGCTATGCATGTAATGAACATGTGTTATTAATGTGGGCATGTGAGTGTATCTGCTTTCATTTATTTAGTTCTTAAAACCACCCTTGCTAGTAATCTCTGGAACTGCATGTGATTCTTCATGTGTAAGGCAAGAACTGCTGAGAGGGTAGATCACTTTGGCTTAAAGGACTGCTCTCCTTTAAGCCTAAAATCATGGAATTGGATTGAAATGAGATTCTGTGCTTCCACCCTTCCATTGGCAGAAGCTGAGGCTAAATTGGTGGGCCCTGCATGATCATTGCCTGACTTAGGCTCCTGTATGCACACTCAACAACAGTACATAAGTAATAGTTGAGGTATGGTGAATCTTTTGATCTTGAATGCTTTTCTGTGAGGCATTCATGCTGGGCAAAGATTGTACTAGTGGTAATTTGAACGTGCTCCCCTACTCTGGAAAGTAATAAGCCAGAATGCCAAGGATGGTGAAAGCTTTGAATCATCTTTTTCTTGTTGTTATTCCTTGCTGAATTTGCTCTTGCAGGAGGTCCTGGAAGCTGTGGTGTCCTGATGCCTGCAGTCCCTTCCCAGAGCTCCCTTTCTGTTAAGCTTTCCAAGATCGCCTCGTTTGTCTTCTGTTAACGCTTGTCCAAGAGATTAATATGTTTGGTCAATCGTAGCATCCAGACTAGTTAGTAATGAAATGCAAAATGTTGGTGCTCCAAAGAATGTGAAACTCATTGTGGATTTTGTTGGATCAGTGGGGAATAGATTGTGCTGTAGCTCTTCATGTTTCTAAAGATGAATGTACTCAGTTTGGTATTCTGCTGGAAACTGATGCTTACTGAAGTCCTAAATGATAGGTTCAGCTAAAGGGAAGGACTCGCCTATTTCCTAAAAAGCCTCTAAAATAAGATGGTAAAAATGAAGTATGTTATTAAAAGTATTCAATCTCATCTTATCTTAGAAAAGGGTATATGCTGAGGAGACTGAGGTTTCTTGAGTTGTCAGGCACACAAACATAGAGGTTTTACAGACAGAATTTTCATAGCTTATCTGATAGTATAAAACAAATGACATGTT